GAGCGACGGACTGAACCCTACAGAGAGCATTTCAGCTGGTCTCCTTCAACATAACCGCTAAAAGTACTCAGCGGATTTGAATGGAACATTAACTCAGCCCGTCATCACACAACAGGTATTTTGCGTGAACTATCAATCCTAAAGCATGACAAGGTGCCTGGCGCGTATGGTCTGTACCCCGCACTCTTCAAAGAAGGAGCGAGGTCATGGTGAACATTCCAACATTTATGCTGCAGAAGATTTGGAACGAACACAGAATATCAGTCTGACGGAACACCTCCATTGTCATCTTCGTCTTCAAAACGGACACAAAAACGTCATGCAAAAACTATATTGGGATCAGCCTGGTATTCGTCGCATCTAAGGTACTCTCTGTCATTATTTTGCGTGGGTCGATCGATTATTGGGAGGGGCAGATTCGTAAAAGTCATCCCGGCCGAGGATGTATCTTTACCTTGAGAGAAATATGTGAACAGCACCATTGTTTCATACGTCCCATGTTGGTTGTTTTCCTTCACCTGAAATCTGCTTTTGGTTCTGTCAATCGTCAGCAACTTTAGCAGTGTCTGGTGATCAAAGGTTTACCTTCTAAATTTATATCCCTAATGGGGGCACTGTATGTGAACTCCTGTTGGCACGTACGAGTACACGGAAAACGTTCGCCCAAGTTCATCGCGTCCGATGGTGTGTGACAAGGCTTCCCTCGCTTACCTTTTATTTGTTTACTTCTTTATTGCTGTACTGCTTGAAATCTCTCTGTCTGCCTCCGAAACCTCGGGAGTCAAAATATTTCAGGAGCGTACCCTTAGAGACATTCAGCATGCGGACGATATTGCTCTCTCTGGTTCAGACCCTTCAAATTTGCAAACCACTTTAAATAGTCTAAACAACTCTGCCTGACAATTCGGCATGGGTTTACGCTTGCGAATTGCAAAGTGCTGCTACAATATTGGGTGGGATCAAACCCAAACCTCATACTTGCAGATGAGACAGCTGAAGTGGCTAAAAAATTTGTCTACCTGGGTAGTCGTGTAAGTTCCGATGAACTGACTAAAGATGAGATTATTTCTCAAATCGGAGAAGCCGAGACTGTTTTTACCTAACTCCGACGTCTGTCGGACCGACGTTGCGTCAGTTTGTCTGTCAAGGGTAGATTTTACACTGCGGTGGTGAGATCCATACTGCTCTATAGATCGGAAACGTGATCCCTAAGTGCATCGGATGTACAACAGTGTTTGACCATCAGTGTCTCCGAACCATTGGTCAGGTCTGAAGGGCACATCGGATTAGCAATGCTAAGGTACGCCAGATGGTTTTAGGATTAGGGAAACTCCGGTGATAAATTAATTACTTACGCTTCATGGATCACACTGGTTAACACAGGTACTTTGCATGCCAGAAGACCGTGTGCCTCACAGAGCTTTTTTTCGCCCAGCGCTGTGCCGAGTAGAAGCGACCGAGAGATAGTCAACGTATGACGCGGCAGCCAAGTATGAAAACACTAACCAGTAAACCTGTTCGGGTCGACAGCTGCCGTGGGGATTCCGGGACTCATCTCAACAATAGTTAATGACACTGGCGGAACTAGCCCAATCGCGCAGTTAGTGTTGCTCATGCATCAAAGCTATCGTCTTCCATGAGTAGCTACCGAGTTCCCGAACAAACCACATATGCATCGCTTCCAAGGCTTGACTGTATGTCCCACACAAGCCCACTTTCCGGTGCTCGAAACTGTAGGAGCTAGGACCATTGTACCTACGGCTGATAAATTGCTTGACTGATTGATTGAGATGGTCGTCGGTTTGTTCACCGAGCTGAACAGATGTTGCAAACTTTTCATCATTAATCGAGGTTACATCATCAGCACTTTGTTAGGAGCGTAATGAAACAAAGCGTTGAATCGCTACCTGAGCTACCAACATCTTCACAACAGAAGTTCCAGTCCATCCATCTGAAATCCAAAATGCAACTTTCGTTCTGGTTGTCGCTGGCCAGAATTTGTCCACATATAGTACCACAGAATGCGTTTGTTAAGCTTATTCCCGTAGTTCGGCTCTCGTGACTTGGCTTCCCAGAATACGTGCATGTCATGCCATGGTTTATTCCACTTAGCAAGCCGAAATGTGTGGAAAACCGGATAAATAATGACAATTTGAATCCGGACCACAGTCGTGCGGCACATATAGTAGAATATAAGCTCGTCATCGATAGTTTTACCCTGTGGAATTGCATTTGTTACACACCACCTTGAAGAAGCCCACAAGTCGCCGAGCAGTCTGGAGCAGCGTCATTTGGGACAGCCTTCTATGGCCTAATACGCCGGCAAAATGTGACACGGCCCAGTTTTCCGAACACTGGGTGCTGATTAGAGATCAATTGTTTGCCAAACAAAGTATTTGGGACAACATTTCTCACAATAAGTAGAACATCTTCAAACATTCCTGAGCTGTGCACTTTGATTCACAACAGTAAATCGGCTTTTCAGCTCAGCTGAGATCCTACAATCAGGATGATTAATGCATCCCAAATTAACGTTATTTGTGCTTACTTATTGATCTGGGACCATTGGCTCGTAGCAGAAGTAAACACCGTTGTTTATCTACCGCTCCGAACCTCTGAAGACTTATTTGTAGGTTGCGTGATGAGCGTCGGGGATTTTCAACTGAGATGTCTTCCTGTAAGTGAAGCCAGTCTATGCTGGAAAACCGAGAAGTACTGTACAGCTGTTTCGCTCTCAATATGAATCATCCGCAATGCGCATCTCAAGAAAATGCAGGACTACTCAAGTCTGTACCTTCCGGCCATTAGTCCGAACTGCTCTGTGAACAATGCGAAATCTGTTTTCTGGATGGATTAGTGCTTCGAATCTGATCAGTAACCTAATAATGGTGAGCCAGAGACAATCGGATTTTACCAGGTAATGCGGGCGTGCGCGATAGTCTCTAAGTATCCTGAGCAGCCATAGGAGACAGTGATGTTGCACATTATCACGTTTGTGAGTCTCAGTTATGCATTTTCACACAAGTCCGTTCACGAATATGTTAATTAGCACATCTCGCCTTCAAACCAGCCTCACTTGATGGACTTATTGCAAGTTGAGCTTCGGAACAAGCACCCACCAGTACTCGTCTCATGATGTGTGCCAAATGTATGCCGAAAAAGCGCAACCAAATTAGAGTGGACTGTTTTTTAACGATCATGTTACTTCAATTAGTCGACTGCAAGTGAGGGTACAAAGTGTGCGTTTGTGGTCATATGCGCACAGGCCTTTGCTACCGAATCAAACGTGTTCGCCTTCACTGAGTCGGTACAAGAGACCGAAATTAGGTAGCACAACAATCTTGGGTGCACACGCGAAATGTGTTGTAAAGCAAATTTTAATTTATATTACATTTTCGGAACCGAAAACGCAGGCATTAGTCAACACCCGACTGCTTAATATATCCAGTTAGTTTTACAGGAACGTTCATAGGGACATTTATAAGGACCTCACAATGTGACGTATGTAAGTTTCAGGGAGAATTTTTGGGCGTTTGAAGGTGTGGTCATTGTAGAACTGGTGTAGGCAAATCGTGTGTCTGTCGGAGGGGGGATCCTATCCTCTACCGGATTTCTCAGCAAGTGCTCTGCCGGCCGAACTCTGCTTATCTGAACCGTACACATTTGAACTTGCTGGTTAGCAAACTTCTCTCACCGTCTGATTTTTTCGGTTGCCGGTTTGGAAACCGGTATATGGCTAAATGTTTGATTGTCCGATATCGGTGACGTCCACCTGCTCGGTGACGCCTCCCTGCTCTCCTGGCCTTCAAGATAAGTTAGATAACTAGTTACGTACTTACGGTTGGTTCCCCTATAAAGATCATCCTGTGGTCGAAGTTGTCGAGATAAGACACTCACTTTTTGATCTTCATGTTCACTACCTTCATGACTTGCATGCAAGTATTGAGAGAGCTCTATGCAAAAGTTAGGAGATATTTTGGCGCAATGATTCACCCAGCCATGATCACAGAGGGCGAAAACAGCTGCATATTTCAACGGGGATTCTTCCGCACGTGCTCCATGGAATTCAAACCATGGCACATCAGGTAGGTACACTCATTACTGATGCACTGTAATCCACTCAGCGAAACCTAAGCGAAATTTCTGGAAGTGCAATCACAGAAACACAGACCACCCGGCAGCTAAGAATCACTGAATGAACCAGTCTATCCTCCTCATTTTTCTGCCCGACAGTCAAAGGATTTGTTTGGAGTCCATGCCTGGAACGTGGTGCACAGGAATGTGTGTGCATGTGAATTCATGTGCCACTCGCCACAATTTTGTTAGCCAAGATAACGTGTGACTGGTCCACTCGAGAAGAACGCGACAGGTGCTCGGCATCTGTGATTCAGGTGGAAAGGAGCAGAAAACCGAAGCAGACCAAAACGGTTTTAAATATTATGCCTCGGCTCGCCTAACCATAAACAGAATCCATAGGCAAAAAGATTCCTGAGAGTTGTGTGGAATCAATTCTACAGCTGAAGGGTTCTTCGCACAGTCTTTTGGAATATCTGGGAAGAAGGATAAAAATGGTGGTTCAATTAGTTATAAATTACAGCAACACACTTCTAAAAATGCTCGGATGATCTGCAGATCATTCAGGGACACTAGCTGAGGTTACCAGTCAATGGTCACATAATTCATTTTCTCAATGGTCTAGGCTGCTTCACTTTCTGTCGGTAATGTTTTGGAATATAAGTAGCTCGGCTGCGCTGCTTGGTTGTCGGTCTGTTAGCCGAGCTTGGCAATTGAATTTCAGATGTTTCACCACCAACTAAGATGAGGCCGTCAGTCCGATCGTTCTCACGGCTCTTGGAATTCTTTCGGTTTACAAATTACCAGATGTTTAGCGCATCTAAGGAACTGGTGATGATTGTTCTTACCAACACGTTTTAACAAAGTTACTTGTTCACCTTGTTGAAATACAAGCCAACGAATCCCCTTGATTGCTTTGTCTTCAGTCTATTTCGAATAGTCCGGTAGTCGCGCGGAAACATTTGATCCAAGAAGCCTTGCCTGATTTTATGGAAGCTCTGCCCGCCAGCTCTATGGAGGTATCAGTCGGGGGATACAACAACAAGGAGAACCACGCAACCGACATGCATGTACAACAGGTAAGTCGGGTTGAATTACTTTAGATGGTTTCCATGAGTGAATTTGCTCATTTTTTGGTACAAATCCGCCTCATCCATCAATCAGCCCGAAAGTAATTCTACAGTTGATTTAGGATGGTAGGAAATGAGCCGATAAAAAGCGCGAGATTGCTGGTGTCTAGTATGACTTAATGCGCTAGATTTTTGCTTGGGTGCCTCTATGAAATTTTGCTTTTGAAGTTGAATTTTGATAGCCATACTCCAAGCAATCAGTGTACAGCAAAAACAATCGTAATACCGTATTAGCATGGCAATTACCTGAAGTGAGCGCAGCTAAATTGATCGATTGCAGCGTTTCGATCCCACGGCAAGTTCAAGGTTGTCCGAACATTTATGACAGGAACCGCTAGTAAAGCGGATAGAAAGGTCAACAATTTTCACATGATGTGGGTAAAACGTCAAGCTTGTTTTTGATCAGTAATGAGTGTCGGATATTCGATGCTGTCAAACTCCCTAACCAAACTTTGCTTTCAGTGAAATCTTGCTCTGTTCAAGTTCCGAAATTCGAATGATGCACAGCTCTCGTGCAAACCAAAGAAACCCCAAAAGATGACGCTCTATCAGTCTGCTTCAGCCTAGATAGAGTTCACTAGAATGCCTTGTGTGCACTTCGGAAAGCTGAACTATCAAACAGAAAGAATCCATAATTAAAGAGGAACATTCTCATGAACACAGACTACCAGGCATCAGTAACCGGTGTAAGACACAACTGTGCAGTTCCGGGCAATCTATGGTGTTATCCAGTCATCATACCGGGTCCAGCGCGCACCGATGTGATCATGTAAATAGTGCAACCGCCGGAGCAATCTGTTTCACATATATTTAATAGTACCTTAACTGTTTGCTCCATCCCCTCTTCGCGCCATCTCTGTTTCATCAAAGGTAAGAGAAGCGCTAAGGCATTGTCGATATTGAAAATTGATCATCACATAAGACCACAGCAAGGACGAACGTTCAAAGTTGGTTTTGTGTGAATTGCACGTGAAACCGTAGCAACCACAAATGGAAGCCGACAATAGGCGGTGCCTTTTTTCTCATGAAGATCAGTCAAAATGACTGTGGACTTGCAAATTAGAGTGGTTCGGAAATCCGTCTAGTAGGTCTCGGCAACCATCAGCACTTGGGGGTGTAGGTAACCAAGTTGATTCTTTGCAGATCACTGAGCTCAAACGATGGGTGCTTGTCGGTTACCTTGATAAGCAAAGTGCAGATTACCGGATGAACTTCTTGTTCCAATCAAAGTAAAGAGTATGGCTGTCAGGCCGTCATGAACTTACGACTTTGTGGAGTATTTCCGCACGACAACAGTACTGTTTGCCACACTTATTTCTGAAATGCCAACCGAAACCAAACTCATTAGGTTGTTCAGTTTTCAAGGTGGACGTCATAGTCGGATACTTGTGCACTCGTGACCAAATATAATAATAATAATAATAATAATAATAATAATAATAATAATAATAGACTTGTTCTCACCGGTCTCATGGCTCCCAAATTTAAATTATATTGATCTGTTTTCTTTCATCTCATCATCGATTAATTGATCAGCCGATCCATTTAATTGTTGGCACAAGTCAACATCTTTTCTTGCATTCAGTGTCACAATCAAATGCCAATTACTGTATTTTTGGTTCATTCGTTGCAATACGTTCCCTTGTTTGGTGCTTGCTTTGGTGGTGTTTCGCAAGTTGTTGATTTATTTCGGTGTAACAGCTTTGTTTGCAACGAATAACAGAAAGAAAACTCAAGCACAGATAACCGCAACTTAGGCCTAACCGGTCTGACTCATTACTGCACACTTGTTAGCCCTTGATGGATACAATACTACCGGAAGTGATGGTTTGTTTTCATAGTATTTCAAAATTGGCCAATAGTGCCAGCGATATTTTGAGGCGAGGTTCGTGGTTTCCTCATCTCTCCTAAAACATGATTCAAGTAACAGGCATTCGCCAAAAGAATCCCAAGGCCAAGGTAGCTGAGCTGATTTAAACAGTATTTTGAACGCAGTCAACTACGATAAGTCAAAGAAATTGTATTAATTTGGTGAAAACTCACTAAATTCACAAGATAGGTTCACTTAAAATTCACAGCGTAGATGTGGCCAGTCATTAAAATGTAGGGCCGCACTGCGAAGGAACACATTGAAAATACTTGAGAATCTATCAGCGAAGGTTTGATATGGTTTTCCTATGGAGTTAGATCTTGACAACAAAGGTCATCGAAAAAACTAACATGACCAAGGTAGACTAAGTACTCGCACGAATCGTTTTTGACAGAACATTACCGGATTTCGCAAACGTATTGTGACTGCTTTGGCTGTAGTCCAGTACTACCTTCGGGTCGATACTGGCAGTCTGCAAAGGATGTGAAACGACTCGTTTGGGTTGACCACGTGACCACTATCAGTTCTGTCTTTCTTGGCATGTAATCAAACCACCATGAACTCCAACGGCAAACGACCAGCTGAAGCTTTCCATGTAGCACAGTTTATACCCGTCGCTTCTCTTTGGCACGTTAACCTATCAGACGAATAAGCAATGCACATCCACACTAACTGAAACCATGACAATCAAATAATCGTCGACCGGTGCCTAAATCGAAAAACGTAGTCCACGTTTAGCCATCCACATTAAATGTTCCGCATTCAACTTCCCAGGGGAAAATGTTTTCTTGGAACGCTTCTCAGATTGCCGGGACGCCGGCATCGGAAGCGGCGATTCAACCAACGCAAAGACAGCACCCATACTACGCTGCAGATTTTGGTGTACTTCGTGGTAGTGGAAGCCATCCATCGCCGAAACCACCACGCCCCACGTCACCTCCAACGTTGTCTCCCTTGGATTACCAACCCTATCATTCGGAAGATGGCTTATCCCAATCTGATATAGTGCAGAGACGGCTAAACCTAGTGAATGCAATGACGCCATCAGGAAGTGAAGTGAATGTACACGTTCGTGGATCAGTCACTGGTGCACGAACACCCAGCAGTCAGGTAAGACAGCATGAGAGCTGGTTGCCGGATATGCACGCAATTTTAAGGTCTGATGGTAGTTACATTCCAGTTTCAACAAAGATGCAGATGGGTCGATTTCTCGTATCTATATTCTAAGCTAGGTGTTTATCCAAGAACGAAATATCATAAGAAGGGGAACTTGTCTTCTAAGCAAACCCGTTTGTGCAGCAAAAGCTGTGTAGTTATTGACAAGCTAACTACTCATGGGTACCTCGGTATGTGGATATTTATTCCAAGCAGGTGAAAAAATTGCAAGCAGCACGGTACAAAGTGACCTTCATTGAAATGTAGGCCGATTAGGAATAAGTCTATCACTTTACTGGTAGGCTTACTGATGTCCTTTTTGGTGCAGACACACCTCACTGCATGCATATATGTTTGTGATCCAGTACCCGCAAATTTGTCTTTCCTGTGACTACTGGAAGATTGTCTACCGTATAGCCCACTTATGTGTCGCTTGCTTTCAACGTGAATATTATTTTGCTTGTTGTTCGCACTGTGATAATTTCGTCGAGAAATTTCTTTTCACAATTTTTTTACACTGATTTGGACTAGAATCATTTCGGTTGTTCAACGTCATCATCATGGCATTGCTCACGATAGGGAGTGAATGCACGCTGACGAAGTGCTCTCAAGCAACAAAAATAGTATCAGACAAGAAGTCGCTCTTCCCAGCCCCGAGTTCTAATGTATCATATTCACTCAACCCATTCCTTCCTGCTCACTCGAAGGTATCCGGAGATGTGCGACCACTGGCGACCAGTTTGGACAGACGTCAACAGATGGGAATCGAGTACCGTGCTCCAACAAACGTACGGAGGGCACAAACTCTTCGGGTATGTGTTTTCAGTCAGGATACGGTGGAAGTGTGTGACTAAACCATTTAAGCAAGTTTACTTACCCACCCAACAGCCTTTCAGACTAGTGGTACATAATTTGAGGCGCGCTTAGTCCCAAGGCTAGCCAGAATGACGGCGGAACGATATACCGGCGCGGCAGAATCAGAGTTCGGGCGTAGCACGCAGCACTTTCATGAGTGCAAGTTATGGATGGCATGAAGTGAAGCAAAAACGTTTCCCAGGGGTGAACGAATAACTTGTTCTGTAGTGAGTTGCTCCTACATCCGATCGCATGCTGCCTGTGCCAATCTAGATCATTTTGATGTTTTTTGCCAATATGTTGCATGACAATAGCCAACTCTTCCTGAAAGTGATTCTTCCCAGATGATTCGCACCTTTTATCCGTGCAGCTTACTATTTGCATCAGTAGTATATCCTTTGGTTGTGCATGACCATCATGCCTGCATCAAAAATGTTATTTGTCTTGGTTTATTTTTCGAACAGTGAAATGCCACACGTCTGCATAGCATTTTCTATTAAAGTTCGTTGCGTTTTTCTAAAACTGACAAAGTCCCTCTTATAAGCGTACGTGTGGATAACGATCCTGAAATCAAAATATTATAAGTGTAGTTCACTCACATAAGCACGTAAGTCTCTGGAAAGGTTTACACACGCCCAATCCCAGTAATCTCGAATCCTTTCTTCACCATTCGGTTGTAGCTGTTTCTGTAAAAGCAGTGTTTTCTTTACAGGGCTTTGTACTGCAGAACGCTATAGCCTGAAAAAAACATTAGTAGTGGATGCAATCACCATGGTTTCCATGGTTTCACCATGGTTTCTCCTCATTCAAATCAAACTTTACAGCACAGATCTTGCAATACACCTTATGTTTTGTGTCCCTTTACTGCTGGATAAAATGGCTTATTAAGAATTTAACCTCAAGAGATAATGCATCCCCAAACAGGATTCTCGGGGCTGCACCGAATGGCTGTCAATGTTCTAAGTAAAACCTTTGCAAACCGCTAGTAAAAGAAGAAGGTGTACAAACGTATAGTGTCTAACAGCAACAAAGTGAGTATACCGTAAAAACAATGACCTTTTAGAACTCGACATAATCGGAAGTATTTTACAGCCTTTGAATCCATAGATGGTGTAATAGAGTGAAACGATGATTATCAACAAAATCAAAATCAGGATTTATTTACTGTGTTGAGGACGCATCGCAAAAGCTCGTTTATCATCCTACGAGCGTGAGCTACCACGAATTCTGGTCAATAATGTTTGTACAAGCACAGTCCACGGATTCTCTCATTGATGCTTCCAGTTATAGTCTTCCTGAATGCTTTTGGCATTATTCGACTAGTTGTTTTCTTTGTAACGCCGTAGAGCAAACTGAAGGCAATCACGCGCATCTTCGGCAAAAATATTCCTACAGGGAAGCTTCAATGAGCACTGGATATAAGATGCGAAATTCCTGGTAAACGGCTTTTCTCTGGGTACGCTTCTGATAATCCTAGATCGTTTCCACAAGCTGTTCGCTGCACTAAGAAAGGGCAATTGCTGGGACCAGTAACTAACCCCACGACGCCAGTCACGTGAACCCAATGTTTGAGGAAGCCTGAGAACTATACGAGACACAGAGCCGGAGACCATAAAATACTGAGCCACAAACAAATGAACGCGGTGTTGGTTCTGGACAAGGTAACTGGCCAGGTTTTTTTTATTCAAAGAGCCTGGAATAACACGGAGAGACTCGTCCCGTGTCTTTCCCACAGATCTGGAATTACAAGCAGGACATGATTTGCGCCGGGCAGTTATGTAGATTGCGATATCTCCAGCTTATAGTGTGATCAACAGCAAATAACGTAGGTGCTTAGCGCATCGCAGTGCACTATGTTGTGGGGTGCAATTTATGTAAGGAATCTAGTGCATTCGTCCGATTGGTGTTATTCTGACCTCTTACTTATTAAAGCTCCCATCAAGATGAAAAGTTCTGCAAAGCGGGCGATTTCCCACCGCCACTCTGTCTTAGTAAAGTCGAATGACCAGTCCCACCTAGAAATCTTCACCCAAGGAGCCAGTCGAAAAACCGGAGTTGCTGCATGAGTTTAAAAGACTCTCTATCCTAAATGGTAGTTAACTGCCCTGTTGAGCATCTAGCTGTGGTCGAGTGGTGTGGCGCTCATCCAATGACCAAACAATCGTGGTTTTCACCACCTCGAGGGATTCGTGAGATGATGACTTTGAGAAAGTACGAAAAAGTAGCACCGTGTGCACCCTATTTCTTGTGATCTAATTTCATGATCAAATATCGGCTGGACCGAGATATACTTCAACAGACAAAACCCTAGGCGAGAAATTTAGAATAGTGCTTAGGCCAATTATTTCTGTGGTTAACCCAATTATAATTTAGGAAATTTGAGACTCCCATAAAAACGAAATTTCTCAGTGTGAACGAATTCCGATCTTCTGAGAGAGTTATCTATTAACTTTAGAAGAAAAATAGTTCAAAAACTCAGAGTCCCCCTAATTATATTGATTTCAGCAATAATTCTTCAAAAATTAATACAAAACAAGCACTGACATTTACCTTACTGCTCAACTCTCTCGTTACTTTCCGAATAGCTACGGAATGTTTTTGACTTTTCCGATAACGATCAAGTAAGCAACTTACACTGCACATGCTAAAGAAGAGAAGGTGGCATCTGAAAGCAAATTTGCCTTCTTTATTAATGTGTGCGCAGTCACTGCTCACTTTACTGCCCGTGCGAAGAAAGCGTACTGACCTGCTGCACGGGTCCTCTACCGTGACCCCTCGTGTTCACCACTATATGGCCTAATGCACTAGTATTCTTGAATCAGGAGTGTGCATGTGAGTTCATGACCGGCGAAAGTCGAAATAAATCACTTAGGATAAGATGATACAGTTTATGAGGAGCACACAGTTTTGACCAGTTTCATCAGAAGAAATCCGGAGTCAAAAGATCACTCGATGTAGAAGTCCTTTGGTGCTTTGAATGGCAACCAGTTACCCGAGAAAAAACTACTTGTTTCCTTTCCCTAATAGATGGACCGTTGTTCAGTGGTGTTTCTTGCTTCATTGCACTGCAACCTACAGTCTCGCGGTGAAATTGAAACTCTGTAGGTTTTCCTTGTCTGTCTCAAAGATGTGGATTGAGTTTCATTGCATCATGGAGCAATGAAACTCAGGATTGATAAAGTAAACACACTATTCTTTTGTTGGAAACTCTAAAAGAGGAACCATCTTCATTGAGGAGATATCTTGGGAACACGGAATTTTCCCACTGTAATACACGACCACCCGAAACAAATCTCAAGATGGACAGCTCCATCCCAGAATTCTCTACATTGGCATCACCCAGGTCTGTAAGTTGAAGCAGAATACGAGTAGTCCCAAATATGTCTGCTGGACGTTTTAACCGGACGGCGCCCGTCAGATAGCTGGAGCATTCGACCTTTTTTGCTATCTACTGCCTACTCCCGCATTCACCGGACACATTTTAAAGCACACCTGTTGCGCTAACTCTCCATATTCATTGATCTTTTCTCAACCGGCTTGATGTGGACAAGTCAATAGGTTAGTCATAGATAAGCGTACAGTGCCAGTGATTTGATAGCTTCACAGTTGAGACTTCGATCCATAGCTGGAAAATAAAATGAAACGATGGATGACAACTTATACACTAATGAGATTCTAACAGCCATCATAGCTATTATATAAACAATGATCCTTATGACAGGTTATGGTGTTTAGTGAATCTTACTCAAGTTCAGGTGGCTGAAAAAACACCACTTATTAGGCGCGGACTGACGTCCACGTCATGTTGCATTAGGATACGTTAATGACAAAAAGTAAATGTTGAACATTTGAAACACCCTATGGAAAGCCCCACCCCATGGAAAGTGCCCTTATAGAAGGCAATTTTCTTCAGGCCAAAACGAAAAGCTTGCGGTGTCAGTTATTGTCTAAGGAGGAAGCCTGTATTGGGGGAAGGTTTTGAAATTATCGAAATCCATCGGGGGGAAGCTGACGTAATTATCATCCCCTGAGAACTCCTACTACCATTTATATGGTGGTTCGCCAAGGTCTTTTCTGAAATTCAAACGTTGCGGCACTATTCAAGGGGACATCATCAACGCAGCCAGCAGCGTTCTGACAGTACTTCCATGAATGGTGATGAAACCCACTGACCAAGCTCAGTAAGCAAGCCAACAATTGATGAATCCATTCAATACCGAGTGCTTGTTCATCGCTTACAGAACTTAAAAACCTCCTATGTCAACTCTGAATAAAAAATGAGATACCTTGGCACTGTGCTTAAGATGATTACTACAGTAAGAAAACTGCTCTCATTCGCCTAAATAAGGACAACGATTTGACGATAAGCAGAAGTGAGGAAGAGTGCTAAGTGGATCCCTGATTTTATGCCTGCAACTTGTTGGCACAAATAGCTGGCTTAACAAAGCAACGACCACAAGAAATATTGACATGATCGTTCTTCATTGTTTACATATATTTTAAGTTTGAGGGAAACGAAGAGTTTCTGGTGTTAGTATGAACTTGAAACAGTGCTGAGGAGGAATCAGAGCAGCAATCTATCGGACTAGGCGATAATCTGGGATCTTGAAACAAAATAACTTCATCCAGGACACTAAAAAGCTTGGAGGGTAAGCTACATTTGAGGGCACAAGCATAAAGAAGTCCACGTGCGTTTTTTATTCAAAGCTAACACCTTGATGTAATTTTACTTCTCACTCAAAGTTGCATACCACCTTCGGTCACGTGAACGAAATTCTCCAAAAACAGTAGGACACTTAAATTCTACAATATGTTCTTGTTCTAACAAGGCGGTATTCCAACCCTGTTCTAACCTACACAGTTTAATGCCACACACGATTGACCCACCGTTCGTTCTGCACCCGCTACTGTCTTCTTAGCTGATCAGTTTAATTTGCTTCTGTCACTCACTTTACGGTAAATTTAGAAAATTAATTCTACTTGCCCCACCAATGGATACAGTCTGTTTAGGCGAAGCTGGCTCTTCCACAGTGCTTTTGTGGTTAGATTTGCTCAAACTATATTTTGTCTTGCTTGTGACCGTAGTCTTTCACCGTGGTATTGTTCGGCACCGGGTGAAATAACCATTTTCACTGGTACTCCGATTGTCCCCGTGATCTGCTTCTGACCTAAATAGCTGGGCTGCTGCTCAAAGTGAATCATGCGTTGGTCAAACAGCGATCGTGCGCCGATTGACATAACAGACGTTTATCAGTTCAGGTAGGGTCACTGTCTATATAAGTTCATCTAGAGCGTCACCAAGACGGATTAATTTCCAACACCCTAGTGGAATAATCTTCAAATAAAACCAGTTAAAGACAGTGAGCAGTTCTTCTAGCGCACACAGCAGGTGACCAATCAATACGTTTCGTTCGGTATATCGATGGAAGATCCATAAAACATTCTCACTCTGCACATACAGCTTATCATTATGCATGTCCTTATTTTCAGATCAGTATTTCGGTGTGTAGTCAAATAAGCTAGATTTTCAGTGTTAAAAGCAACTTACGGTGTTTCCCAAGTATGTCACCTAACAGGTGTTTCACACAGCGCATCACATGACACATCATAGCATGACTTCTACTGATCTACTGAAACGTTCTTACTGAGAGACAAAATGTGTTGTTTTAGCACGTAAACACTGAGAGGTATTCGGCATTGAAAAGCAGACACATTGAAGTATTTTCTGTTTCGGTAATAGATGTGCTGAACTGACTTGTTCGGCCAAACACCCCTAACTTGGCGTGCAGTTTGCCATGATATCTGTATTTTTTTACCTCAACGTCTTTATGGTCAATCGACTGGCACAAATTCAATCCATGAGTTTGTAATAAACGTTGACGGACAAACCTCCCTGCGTTTTTCATCTGCTGGGACTAGTTTCTTCTGTAATAGTTGTCCCCTACAGCAGACATTTTTTCGCTGAAGTACACTGTTAACAGAAAGCGAGTTTGACTCTATCGCGAGAGGAAGTACATATCACTGAATGCCATGACCAAGTTTTTTTGTTTTGTTAACTCAGGAAAAGTTGCTTAGGCACCTTTGGTAAAAACAGAGGTCCACTCTTATCACTATGTAATGAAAAAAGTTGCCAGTTTTCAGTCGATAAAGAAAGCCTATAATTTGACGTCACTGGTAGGTCATTTGAGTTCTGCTGGTTTGAGCCTAGCACTTGGAAATCAGCTAAAATCTTGGTGTGAACCAGATTTTGACCACTAATTTATACAACCAAACCACTACTGTGTAATCGTGGGAACACGTTTGCAAACTGAAGTGTGTTCAGAAATCCGAACGTAATCTTGAACAAATCGACAGTTGTGGAGGTAAATGAACCTGCATATATAATTTTACCCTTTGGCAAACTAAATGACTGAAATACTGTGGACCGTAAATCGACATATCAGGAGGGGGAAAGGACGAATGTGCACCGGTGCGTCTATGCGTGTGTGCGTCCTTGCGTTTGTGTGCGCCCTTGAGTAATCACATTTATAAGGGCAAAATTTGAAGACCACGTTCTTTGTGGAAATAAGTTCGATTTTTTTTTACGTAGAACATGACTCATCAGGTAGCTCGAACAATCAGATCGCCTACCACCTGTTCCACCCTTTTTAGGGCTTAGCAAGCAGGCGTAGTTCCCGAGTTTTCATCGGCCTTGTATTCCACGTGGACAGGCGGCCAAATACGTACATTTGCATTTCCATTTGGTTTCACTGAGAGAGTCGATTGAATATGTTAATTATGGTATTCATCAAACACTTGCAACAGTGGACCACAAGGCGGCCCTTGTGCAAAACGTAAAATTGAAGAATATCAGTAACGAAAGTTTCAGCCGTGGTTCACTTAAGCGTCTCTTTGCCACTATTTTAAGTTGCGAATTACTCATTTGCGCCATCAGCATTCTCGTAAATTTTGGAGAGATTTGAAAAAAACATCAGCGGGTTCCTGACTGATCTTTTCCTTTTGACACAAAAGTTCCACCAGGTCATATAAATAGGCTACTAAGTTGGTCAAATTTTGAGGCTTTTTGACAGCTGACCTGCTTGGTATCCTTGTACTAGCACGTTAAACCTAAACCTGGTACTGTTATAGTCTTATTAGTGAAGATGGGTGTAAAATTCCCTGAAAGTGAGTGATGTCGGTGGTCTCAATCTTCATGTTGAGATCAACTCGGCTGGTTCGTCATGCGTACTCCGACAGTCAGGTTAGGGGAATTCTATTTTGGCGGGTTGGGCTCTATACTTCGGACCTCAAACACTTCTGCTGCGGGATGCGATTCCCCAACAACAGCACGCATTCTGTGGCAACTCATCAACACAAACTGTTTTCCTAAAAGCTCGCCGACTTCATGTCCTCTAGTATATCTACGCTCTAGTTTGCCACTGACTAGACCGAGTAGCTGTGGATGCTCCGTTCAAACTCTCAATGGTTTTTGTCCTTATGCGTAGTTGCTGTTTAGTGCCACGCGAGGCGGTGTCTGCGAACACTGTACTCGCACAATGTTGTCTGGACAAAACCTGTAACCTCTTACATCTGCTAACAAATTTCAATGAGGCACGCCCGAATGAATTTGCTATACACTTGGTCACTGAGCTATAAGCATGAACATGGTTTCACCAATATTTCTTATTCTGTCACTTTTGCCCTACAGACAGATTATGCCAACCGGTTGCGTGAACGAGTGCTCAGTCTGCGCGTGGAGCCAGGAGAAACGCAAGGCGATGGGGGTACATTAAGACCCCGCAAGCTTCGAACGAAGAAAGAAACCTACGTATGCAGTGACACGATCAAATTTCCAAAACTATCTTTTAAACTTAGTAAAAGACAAAAGGAAAAATCGCCGGCCCTGGTACATTCAGAAAAAATAGACATGGTCATTCCTCGGCCTCAACCAAACTTCGTATCCAGCGCACCAGATGCTCAACGATTTTGGGTGCAACAGCAGATTACCAATAATTATGAGGTAGGTTATAACGAACATGGTGGAGGTAAGGTAAGCGTAGAGGTCTTAAAGGTAAATCGGGTTACAGGGTAGAAACTATTGAGAAAACAACAAATTATCGATTGTTCTTAATTCTTCACATATGATCTGTATCCTGATTTGGTTACCCATCAAGATGCCAAAAATCGGGTTTCTTCCCAGAGTTATGCTTGCTTCTAACATGGGTTTCCCTGCCAGACATCAAGTTGCACCACAAGGAAGCGTGGCTAAAAACGTGTATGGAGCCAATAAAACAAAATTTCTGGTCAATGTACACAACTTTGGTGGAATGGTGCATGCATTTTAATCCAATGACATCCATCACATAAGCGTGAACAAGTTTTCGTGTAAAGTTTCTCACTAATTACTTAAATGCAGTAGTTGTTATACAAAGTACGCAGAGAAAAAGCAACCAGTGGAGTCCATCAGGTACACTCACATCTATAGACAGTCTACAAGTGTGGGCCAGTAGACATGAGGTGTATAAAAACACCTGCGACTTCAAAACAGAGGTGTATCTGGTGTTAGGCGATCCATCGGTAGGTTACACACATTCAGGTTCCCAAAAGTTCTACTTTACAGACTATCATAGTTTTATTTCAGTTTGCGAATATAGTGCTCTTTCCGTGAGGAAACACTTTTATCCGGTGCTGAATTGTTACTTGAACATGGAGCGAGTAATATAAAGCATCTTTGCGTCTTCCACACCTGATGACCTGCCATCGGATGTTTCCAGCGACAGGTGCCGTGTATGCACAAGCATCCGGTAAACTCGGATATGTAGAACTGAACGTGCTGGTTTACAGAAAGGTGTATCTATCTGTTTTTCGTCCAAGCTTGTTTTTAAGGCTAGAGGATTATTTTTGTACTGAAGAGAAATGAACACGTGGTAAAGATGTCGAACACTATGACAAAACGATATATCACGTAAGCTACGGAAGCAGCCATTTATTATATGTGGCTTTGTTCTACTGCGTAGCTTCTGTAGCACTACTACAAATTACAAGTGTTAAGTGTTTGGAAGTACCTTCTGTTCCGACCATTGACAGCCTAAATCGAGTAATGTCCACCATAGGCTGAGTGTAATTGTACTGTTTCAGGAATGTTAGGAATACCGACTGTTGCTGTATGACATTCAACTTTGACATCCTCACCAGTTGCAAAACTCCTTATCACTGTGATGTCTCCTCCTGGGGAACTATTCTTCCGTTTCTGGAACAGTAGTGTTTTTGTTTCAGGATGTGAAGATGTTAGTGGATGATGCAGTAGGCTGTAGTTCATCATCTTGAAGTTTAATGATTATGGGTGTTCTTAAAATATGCATCTGTCAAAAACATTTCATTTGTCTACATAATCCTGCTAAGATGTCTTGCGTTTTTCAAACTTTGTTCTTATTTGCTTACGAGAGTCGATATTTGAAATTTTGGTTTCTCGATATGGCGCAATACTTCTACTTTGAGAAAACGCCGACAGAAGTTTCCCTCGACAGGAGTATTACTCCTTGAGAATAGATACAAAAATGAACCATGTCCTGAACTGACGTTCGGAGGAAATTCAGTTATTTGGGTGTATATTTTTTACATCTCATGCTCTTCACCGAAAAAGGCACGGCAATTCACTTCATATAATCTTTGCGACATATTTTGGGTCTTTTTGGCAGTTGTTTCTGATTTTTTGACAACTCATCGGTGCAACCGTAGTCAAGCACGATATGAACCGGTCAGATGGGGACAATAGAGACACCATTCACCACTTTCACCGTCGTTCGGTAGCAGGGACATCTTCATTGGTACCTTCTTTTTGGAGTAAGCAACTGTTAGCAGTGTAGCGACTGTTCTTTCGGGCATCGGTACAACTATGTCACCTCTATGGTATTGAGTTGTAGCGTTCATAGTAACCTCAACAGCGCTTGTGCGGACTCCACAGGAAACTAAACTGCTCTCAGCCATTCGCCTCGCTTCACCAAACCTTTCTAGTGGTTGATCGACCTAATACTTTGTCACGCCGCATTGTCCTACGTATAATACCCTAGGATCGGGTGGGCAGACCAAACAGAACTGCAGTGCTGTTATGTATGTAGCAAAACGATCCTTTTGCGTAATCGTTACAGAAACGATGAGGGGTTGGTACGTAAAGATTCAGTTTTTCACTAATTGGCCTGCCGAGCTACCAAACACCGTTAACTGTGTTAATTCAAAATTACTGTCGCGATGCCATCACAAAGTCGAGTGTGGCTTGCGTGGTTGTCTCCGATACCATCAAGTGACCATGCAGCAATGTAACTTACTGTGTTTACGTCATCAGTGGACACAGCTAGCAAGCATGAGCCAGCGCGAATCCCCCGAAGTGATTAATTATTGAACAAAACTTAGCCTACCTGCATTACGAAGAAAAACTGACCAATCTGGGCCAGCGCACTGTTATGAAGGTCAAAGTGCGTGTTCTTATGGTGAAATTGGCAGTTAAGCCGTAGTTGGTCGCCAGATTCACATCATCGTCGTTCATCCAATCGCCCAGTTGCAGTGGATGACGTTGGTTTTTCAAAAGCTTGGAGAACACAATAATTATTTGGTTAGTAAACTGATGCACCAAACACGGTGGTTTTTGGGGGGTTGCTTCAGTGAGGCAGTCATTAGCGGGATTCTGTTTGTTCAGGTTATGGCCTCAATGTAAATCGCATTGTACAGACGCGCCAAATTTTACAAAACCCCTTGAAGCAAACCAAAGGTAGTGGACTTTGATTTTGGCGATGCCAAGCTGTGACAATGGGTTATAGATATGCGAAGTGACACAGCCATTATCACTGGAACAACAACCGCGTCGCTCCAACGGATAGCACGGATAGTACTGATGCCTACCGTAGGGACATTATCATTCAAAAATGCCGTCGCAGGCAGCAGTGCAAACGTGGTGGAATCCTAGGCATATTAGGAGTGTTAGAAAAATGACTACACTCGAACTGGTAACCTCTGGCAGTGGAAACGGTTGCTCCCAAAGTTCTATGAACATACGGATAATTATCTCGGTGCTTATGGTTGTTCAGATGACCGCAGGTTATCGGGTAGATTGAGCAACATTGGGTGGCTGACAGAAATGCTGTTAGAAGAATGAAAATGGCCGACAAAGTTCATTTGAACGTGGGCCAACTGAGAGCTCATATGAGGGAAGCGACCAACAGAAAATATAGTGTGGTACTGGATCCGACCTGTTAATGGGCCAAAAAGAAACGGGTCTACTCGCATGTATTTCTCTGCATAACCTAATTGACGTATCAAGCTGATATCGTCTTGGCTGGAACGTGGCTAGCCAAGCGTACAATGCCGCTGTAACTGCTGAAGTACTTCCAGCTGTAAACGCGAAATTTCAACGAAATTTCGCGATACTGATGCTACAGGAAGCTCCTCTAGCGTGGGGCCATTTATTCAGGTGGAAGGTGCTGGAATCATGTTCACCATGGCCTTGCAAGCGATCTTATCCATTTGCAGTGACTTTTAGTGAACACGATAGCTGATAGACCTCTAGGTGAACTTGCGACATCAATTAAGAATTTTCTGAAAATTACTGTTAAGACCGGCTGCCAGACGGAATTGGGCTAAAACTATCCATAAACTTGTGTCCTGTGACTCGAATGGAAGGATACATACACCGATATTTCCGGGCCGGATAGAAACCAACTTAGCAACAGATATTTCAGCAAAAAATTGCTATTGCCCAGTGATCGCTGGGGACTGGAGAAACGACATTTTGTGTCATCTGAAGGTTGTCTTCATCTTCGTGGTTAGAGGCCAATCTGTTACTGACAGGGGACAGGTTCACATATCAAATCTAGCTAGACAAATAGCTTTTGGAGACAGCTCCAGAAAGCTTGGAATATTCATGAATCGAGTAGGCTATCTTTTCCATGGAATCACTGGCTGGCTCTTCGACGTCAAGGTAGCATAATCACGCTTACTAGATAAACTCTATATCATTCCTCGATAGGACAGATAAAACAACCGATTGTGAGATATGTTTTCACGATTTGAGGATGGCTGTCACAGAAACCATACAGTTCCAGCCGTTCAGTCACCTTGGTAATTGACATAATCAATGAGCACCACGTTAGATGAACATTATACCGTTACTGTCTATACCGCTGGGTTTCGCCTTTTGTCACTCATGAGCTGCAAAATTGGCTTCTTCAACAGAGGTGCATTTTTGTAATTTTAGAATCCAATAAATATAACGAAATATCTACTTGAAAAATTAAGTATGGGATTGCTTCTCCGTGTATTGTTTTTTTTCTTGGTACAGCATAAAGCGTTTTCGCTGGTACTGAACATACTCTGTGCGTCAAACCCTGGTGATAGCTCCGAGGGTTGCCGTCGGAAGCGATACGCTACGGCGCTTTTCAAAACATTTAGAGACCTGCGAGACTACTGGAGCTATTCCTTTTTAACTTTTGTTGTTGACGATCTAATGGTAATGTCCGCAAATCCGTGGGAGTAGAGCTTCTTCGGTACAGCATGCTGATCAATATTGACTGTGATAATGAAGCTGCTCTTCTTCCTCCTCAAGCAGAACTATGAAGAGAATAGTGGATCTTCCTAGATGTGCCTTGAATCTCAGAAATGTAAAATTCTGCTATGGGCCTGAATCAGAACCAGTCCAACTTCAAACGATGGGGTTATCTTCCTTGGACTGTCGACAAGCTCATCAGAAAATGAATGGAAAACAGACGTTCGGGAGAGCAGAATCACTCAGAAGTGATTGGTTTTATGCGACGTCTATCCAAACAGCTCTGATGTGCAACGACAACTTGAGCTTCACTGCATCTTTTCTCAGTTATCACTGTTTTATTAATGAGTATGTTGTTTCCGGTCCCTAGAAAGTCGTGTGTATTTCACACGCCATATCTGAAGGGCTCCGTACTTATCCAGTCAGTCCACAGAAGTCCAGCCTAAATTTGTTCTTTCAATTGGTAGTCAATTCCTCCGGGACAACAGGCATGTTTTACTTTCACTTGTACAGACCGTATCTATGAATTGCGCCAAAATAATAGCAAATATGGTGTTTGAAGAAACAGTTGGCAATTCGAAACCAACTAAAGGAACCCATCATTCATTAAAGCGTGTCAAACGGGCGTAAAGTTTGGTATCACGTCCATGGTCTCAAGTAAAACCCGTCCAAAACCGTTTGTTTGGACAGGGTCCAATACAGGTAAAATATATTCACTTGCCAATTAAGTTAATGCTGACTTTGGACTAAGCTGAATTCCATGTGAATATTCCATGTGAGGTTCTTTACCTGAACTTGCCGTACAAAGGCCACCCTATGCACTTCGTCAGTTTGGTGTTAAAGTAAAACAGAAGGCTATAGAAAACGCAGAAACTGTATCTAACTGATGTGCCCAAAAAAACCAAACCCTTCGTGAGTTGTTGGCTGAAATTGAGCAACCTCACTGGCAATGTGTTCCGTCAATGTAGGACGATGAAATTTACACCAATAAAAGCAAATATACTGGCAGACTTACAAGCGCTGATAAACTGTGTAGTTAGTTTTACTTCTGCGTAAATGAATTTAGCGAAACATCCTCATTTCATTTTTTGGATGAAGGACCAGGCAAAAAGCTACTACTGTTTAGTACCATTCTTTCCAGCCCGAGGTGTGCAAGTCTGAGGGCTTCCTGGCAAGTCGTCCCCCGCTGAAAACTGGTCCGCAGCTTACCAGCTTAGTTTCAATGGCGGTGAGTCACCGTAGATACATTATGTCATTTTTTCATTTGGTGCGTTTCGTGTAATGCCCGTTCTTGCTTAACGTCCTGGCCATCAGATTGCGGGGAAATCATATTTGAGAAGTTGAAAATTTGGAAGTTTGTCTGCCAAAATTTCACCATATTGGTGCAAACAAAATAGATGAGGATCGCTCCAGTTCTGTATAGATGGAGTTTTCTGTTGAGCTGTCACAGCCAAACACCAGAATTGGCTATCCTACAGCCGACGAATCATTGACGTCAAATCCTTTGGTATGAAAACAATAATTTAAGGATGGGTAGTTTACGCAACTTTTGCTCAGCAACCTATGTTTTCCTTGTATAGTATACGGATCCCTATTCAGGTTGCAGTCTAGCACCTCCAAACGATATTCCTTGGTTTAGATTTCTAGTACAAAGGCATCAACACCTCCCAGGAAAATTTTCATCCAAAGTTGACTATTTATTGGCATTCAGCGGAGCTGATAAACTAAGGCTAACGATGGGAGTAGACGTCACACGGCCTGAAAACTGAATAAGCCAGGGACTTGCTACTAAACTTACTGAATGTGGCACGATACAGACGTAGCAGAATAAAGAACATGCGCTTGTTGAACGTCTCTCCCTAAGGTTGTTTCGAGTTTTGTCATGAGTGAATTCTTTTGATGAATCTAGATTTTGATCAGCTAAACGAAACACCTCTTTGATGCAGTGGTTGGCCTTATGACCAAATCGATAAGTGAAAGCGGATTTTGTAAAGTTTTGGCCAAACTTCAAGAAATACCACTGCCATGTTATGCACGTGGGTTTGCGCTTACGGTAGATTGAGTAGTCAAATATTCAACTACACACTTCATTCCCTATATGATATCAAACGTAGTTACACTCATTGTAGAAGTACAGTACATGTCTAAAAACATTTAGAAATCGGTATCCGATTGGTAATGTTTCAGCTTGGTTCACTGTGACTACCGCTTTTCCGCCTACTCATGTGATGATTTTATTTCATACACTACTTGTATTGTTGGTTGTTGATCAGGTGGCTTTTGATCTGTTCGCCGACGTCGGCAATTAGCTTGCAAACGTTTCGTCACCATACTAGGAGACATCACTAGTTTCAACACATTACCAACTACTTGTATTAGTTACCATCACTCCGTTTTACGCAACTATTAAATTTCCGGCTTCACATCTGGCCGTATACCTCCGCCACATTACAAAACTACTTTCGTCTTTTCCATATTATCACTTATCTATACTAATTCAACAGGGGAAACACTACGGGGATGCAAACTTCCAGGTGATTTCAGAGGACAGCGCCGCACAGGAATATGTAAGTGGAGTTTTACGACCTTTCTTTTGCGAACAGCTTCAGAGTACTACCAGAAATTAAGTAGTGCGTGCGTACTGTCTCTGTGACTTTCGTACTATGCGAGACTCGATTGTTGTTAAAGTACCTGTGCGATGTGAAGGTTTTTTCGGAGAACATTGCGCTGAAATTTGTAAGTACAGAGTGAAGCTCCGTAAGAGCTACAGCAGTGCATGTTAAGAGGCACTGTGTGAACTTTGGGAACATTCGAAAGTCTCAATCTAACCGAACTACACACTAAACGAGGTCACTATTGCAGTATTTTACGGATGTCTGAATCAGAACAACGAAGAACCAGTATCATACATCGAAAGGAATTGACGCTCACCCATTAGGCATATGACAACATCTAAGGGTCTCGTGTTTTCCGTGTTTGGCCTCAGCTAATCCTATTGTGCAGGAGTTTCAGCAACGTAGACTCATTTCCGTTTTGTAGCAATAACTGTGATAACACGAGTGGTTGCATTTATGATTGGAAAAACGGCTGCATTTATGCACATTTTTCCGAAGAAAAAAAAGAAAAAAAAACATTTTTGCCTTGTTGCTTTAGTCCTTCTCCCAAGCTCAGCCTATCAAACGCTTTTTTGAAATTTCGCTCAAGTGGAGAGTAATTAACCTGTTTTCTCAATATTTGAAACCCTTTATAATTTTCACTAGTACTGGGCCAAACTTGAGCGTGCTCTGCCAATCGAAAGCGGGTGGCGTGGAGATTACTCAAGCAACTTTGCATACCATAAATGGAACTCAACTAAATCTTGGTTAACACATCAAATGTATTGTGATTCAGTGAAGGTCTTATATGATTTCTACGTCGACATTTTAATTTAGGATTTAAAAACGACAACATATATCAGTGGGGAGATCAGAGGTCAGTTGGAACAAAAAACGGAGGTTGAACAACTTCAGGAGGCGCTGAGACACACACAAACATTCCTTGTAGCGTGGGATTCTCAGAATGAGTCGCAGCAGACCTCACCCGACAACCTGGCACACATTGCTGAGTGTATTGGTTCGTTTCTGAACACATGCATTCGACTTCGTTCGGCTGATCTACAAGGACATTTCGCTCCATTCCAGTATCAATTGGCCTCGTTTGAAACACGATGCTGGAGAAATGTTGCAAGATTTATCAACTGGAACAATTTACTCGTGATCGGCGGACCAAGTGGGACGACAGAATACATACAGATTGTAAGTTGATCGATACTTTCTGAACTCTGCTACATGAAAGGAACCATAGTGTCGCTTCATCTGGATGTGTAGTTATTTTGGTTCCAATGTTGTACATTTTTTGGTAGAAAGCGGAAGTTGTCATTAGATATTCTGGAGACAAATGGCCAGCCGAAATATTCAAATTGGCTTGAGATACTGGCAAGCCAAACACTATGGAGCTCTGAAAATTATCAGAAACTAGTCTCTCTTGCATCGTACCTCAATAGAGTCCCTTTTTTCAACCCTTGATTAGGTTGCCTCAGACCCTAGCCAACTTGGCAGGTATCGGGTAGCAGAACAACACTAAAAACGGTGGATTAGTGCTGGAATTCTGGGACATACAAAACCAGGTATAGCTCATCGAATAATTCGAAGTCTAGTTCCTTGAATTCCGTGCAGTAAATTTCAGCTAGTGCAATTTGCTTATAGTAGTGATCTGCTTAGTAAATCTCGGGCGCATTCAAAATTGGACTCTGGAAGTACGTACTTGGCTTTCGGGGGTAGTTTCATTGTACCGTACAGGTGAGAAGTAGTTTAAAATGATTATTCCAATCAGAGTTAAGTACTAGTAAAGATCAAAGTCATTTGCTTCATTCAGCGGCACAGTGATTTGATGGGATTGGGAAAACGGTTATTGGAAATCTTCCCTGGCCGAATAGCTGGCTCCCAATAAAATGAAACTAAAAGCTATATGTCTGCTTCTAAACGGACTACTTAGACAGACTGACTAAAAGTGGCCTCCATTGAGGATAGGTCTGTTTTGACAGTCGTCTTTTAGGAGATGGAATTAGATCACGAATACATGTTTTCCACAATCCATGATACGACACGATCGGGGTAGGAAAATATCGGATGTTTGTTTTATTTGACTGTTTGACTGGACAGTCGCTCCACCGAATGAACAGCACTATTCTGAAATGGACTTCTAGAGTGAAAAGGTGAATTCTCTCCAAAAGTGTCGAGCATGTTTCTCTATGTCTATTATGCGACCCAACCCGTCCAGGCAAAGTGTTTCACCAAGAACAGAATGTGGTATACCGGCAATGTACCACCACTTTGAGAACCGATGAATTTCAAGATATTACAAACCCAAAGGAAGCACGTGACTGAGTGACTGAGGACAAAGTCGACTGCATAAAGTTCGGAAAGAAGGGTAATAGCATGGAGTAATGGATAAACGTGAAAACAAGGGGTTAAGTCTAGCTGCGTCCAGCTAACGGGTAACAGCTTTAAACAACTGCATACGGCCGAAACGTTGCGCCCAATTTACCCTCTGCCATTTCAACACCAAGGTAAATAAAGCAGATGCTATTTTCTCTTTTCACATTTCAACTACATATCGTTTTCTACTGAGGCCTTTTTCGACTCCAACTTCTAGGCTCCTGCTCCGTCTACCAAGCTTGAAATCTTTTGCACATATCGTTGTGTGGATATAATGCTAACCAACTGGCTAGATCGCCATCATACAAATCCGCAATTAGTCCACTGTTGTCGCAGCGAACCGTCAAAAATTGCGTACCAGCCTATTTACTTCGTCTCCAACTTGGCAAAACTTGTCAGCATCAATCCATTTTCCAGCCACCCTCTCAATACTTTGTTTCAACTTGGTCTTCGTCTAGCAGTATTGCTTACATACGACAGCTGCCTAACTGAAATGTGTTCGTACCAGAGTTTGAAGCCCGTGACAAAACTGGAGGAGATTATTCTTGGATGGTCGACGTCCAACTGTGTCGCAATGTTTCATTTAGAGGAACAAACCAAGGAACCTTCACCGCCACCACCACCTAACCCTTCTACGGCAGATGAAGGTCTGATGGAAGACGGAGTCCCACTCAATGTGCACGAGGGTACGACACTAGAAAATGGCATGCCAGTAGCTGAACTCCAAAAGCCTGATGAACCGCAGCCCGTCGTAGATGATCTTGTGAAGGAGCTGTGTCCAGAATACAACTCCGTCGAAAGCGCCATCGATGGGCTAATTAACAAGGTGTATGAGACTGTGACAGAACAGCTGAATCCTAATGGTATTGGATGCTGCCTCCTGAAATCTGTTGCGCCTCCGGATTGGTTTGCCATGCTTGTTGCCAGGATAGCAGTGAACAAAATTTGATACAAACCTAATTGCCTACACTCCCGCAAAATTATCAGCAACACTATCGTCCGCATAAAAGATGACCAATGAACAATACCAGTTGGCTGTTCCGATTTCAAAAGATATGCCTTTGCTTTTCGTTTCCACACTTCCTCATCTGTACCGACAACACATTTTATTCCTTCGTTTGCTTTTTTTCGGTATGTCCTTAAACATGTTTTGTCTACTTGGAAAAGCTACCCTTGTGGTTATCTGGGCAAAAGAATGTAGAATGGCTATTTGGCTTTGTTTTATTACGCTGGCTGACCTTCACATGGAGGATTGAGCTTCAGTTGATGCAAGTCTTGTCCAATTTTTCTCCACCTAGTCCACACAGGCCTATTTCGGCTTTCCCGGCTTCTCTGTAGTATTTATTTTTGAATCCAAAATAAAGACTGCTCTTGATATGTGACCTACTAAATTGCTCTAACCCATGTGACCGAAAATTAAATTAAAAAAACAAAAACATTCAGGATATCGCTATTCTCAACAAATCTGATCACGTGTGATGTCATGAACAATCACCTAAACTGAACGTTGGGACGGACCCACCGAAAGAGGATTCAGCGGCAGACTTGAGAAACCGGATGCATGACATTCATACACATTCAGTTCACGTCGAAAACGATCTGTCAACGTCACTTTGCTGGATTTTGGAAGTTGCATGTTTCTGTTAGACAATAGGACTTAAGACGTCATTTTTCAAAGATCTGTGACCTGAAGCTGACGGAATGAATGTGGACAAGTAAGAATAAATAGGCTTACCTGATGGGCCTCAATAATTGCAAAACCCGGTAGGGGCTGCCTGTACTTTCCGTCAACCTTATCAATAATGTTTTTCACTCAATATCGGTTTCAGTCAGACTGAACTTTCGAGCTGCCTTAATAGTTTTACTGATCAAGTGGATTAGCCCCGTAGATAACGAAAGGTTCGAACGTAGGTTATCCAAAATATTCCAAAAAGACTTGAAAAGATACAGAACCTGAAATGTCATGAATGCATCATTTGGAAAGCGAGATGGAGGAATTATTGGAAGCCTGTTGTGCTTCAAATATATCTAAAAGCACAACTACATTAGCATTGTTTATAACGCATTTTCTTTTTTTGCGAGAAGGAAACAGTCGGATCATTGTTGACGAATCTACACATATCCGACTGATAATTACAGTGTCGTTCAGTTGGCTATTCAGACAGAATTCAACTCCACATGTTTTTAAATTCTACATGCTATAACTTTTTCGTTTAATGAGGTAGTGACCTTCCCGACTTTCATATGTGGATAAATCACAGAACCTGGAACAGGTCACTGCTATGAAGTGGACGATCTTTACCTACTTTCTTTCCAGATTATTTGATGCGGCACTTGTTGAATTCACTTAAGTTTGTGCAAGAAATAATGAGACTTTCACATTCACAATAACTAAGTCTGAACATTCCTTCTTCTGTCTCATTCTCGTGAGACCGCACCAAAGGTGGGGAGTATTGCACTTGCGTTTCGCTCTTCTTAAAGATCATCAGTGGTGCGTATTCCTAGCCATGTTTGGATATATATATCTGGCTTGCTAAGCGACCCTGGTATCTCTACTCCAGCGTCCGGTGGAAGTGATTATTTTGACGATATGCTCCAGGACAGGGTGAGAGCTGTTCGAACATGCATGATGCAAATGTGAATTATGTAGGTCTCGCAGTAGCCTAAAACTACCAGTTTGTGTTCTTTGTCTTCATCCTTTGCTCTTGAAATCAACCTTCACATCGTGGCATTTGGCTTCCAAGCCCAAGGAACGACAATGCAAACAAAAAGACGGTTCTTGCGCAGCTACTATTGAGGATAGTGAAAGGCTGTGTAATTCCCGGTAAATGAACGTTCTCGAAAGACGACCTTGAAATATACCTAGTTAAATATACTTCTCAAATTTGATGGACTCAGCTAAGCGAAATATTTATTCAAAGAATATAACCAAAAATATTCGTCTGACCGCCAGTTGATGGCTGTATTCGGTCGGGATAATAGCAACATGAGAGAGCAGAATAAAGCGGGAGTTCCATGACAACAATGACCTGAGGATAACAAAAGTGCCTAGTAAAGTAGGAGTACCTCCTTAGTCAGTATTCACCACGTTATTTGTGTTGCTACAAATCTAATCGAATCCACCCGTCCATTCGCCCACAGCACTACAATCACTTCCAAGGCTTCACCATTCTAATTGTGAGTGCATCAAGCTTTCGTAGTTACGTCACCCCAAATAAACTGATCGTTGTTGACCACGAAGAAGCATGAAACCAGAAAAATCAGTAGTAATCTATCAAAAGATCTACTAAAAATACGTTGATCTTTTAACAGATTACTACGTGACATACGTTAGACCATAGTCTGGTTTCGTGCAGCCACCTCAAAGTTCCAACAACTATGCCGGATATTTAAAAAAATTATACCGGATAGCGTTAGCAGTAATAAAAACGGACAGTCAAGAAAAACTGATGTGTTGTTATTTGATCATGGTTTTGACCTCTCCTAATTGTTCTGGGCCAGAAGTAGTGCCGATCGGCAAAAGTTGAAGTAACACTTTTTATCTACCACTTCGAATTGGTAAGCGGCACAAGCCACAATAACGGCTTGGTTGACTGCAACCACGAAAGGATTTGATAAGTTGGGTCATCCAAACGCTGAATGGAGTTCTCATGAGTCTTGGAGCTCAAACGTATCTCGAAAATGGACCAGGGTGAAAGTTTATTTTACGTTCCAACGCTTCACACTAAAGCTCCTAGACATTTCTCAGATATGCGGTGCACCGATTATATCTTCGTAACATTCTTCCGTCAGAACTTTCCGTGTTCTCATAAGTTTGTACAAAATCTAACAGTACGTGTACGTCCTAAGTTACGTTTCAAGCGGCTGAGAGATTTGTGGTTGCGTAAGAAATTAATTTCTTAAGTTGGCTCCGGAGGACAGGCTACGATATTGGGATGATTGGTTGATCTGTCAACGTCCTACTACAGCCTCCCCACCACGACTCGGACCGTGTATTACCAGCCTTGTCTTACGTCCGTCCATAAAGGGCGAGCGTCGACAAATACGTGGTTCACGTGACCTACAATGGTGAGTCATCGACGAACGGTTTGCGTGTGCCCGTGGTTCATTGTGAGATGTCTACCATCTGGACTGGTGATCTGGAAACCCCGGCCACCAGCTTCAGAGGATCGCCACCTATGCTCAAGAACCATTTAGATGCGAAGTGATATTGTTGCCTTGGAGGGATGGGTGTTGATATAGCTTAATCGGTCAGTGGCTATCAGAAGAATGTTTTGGAATTCTTCCTCATTTGAAAATAAGTGCACAATTGGAATACACACTTCGCCGGACGCATTCAAACGGTTCATCGGTGAAAATATTTTGCGCAGTACTGCAAGACAGTACTGGTAAAATTATGGCCATCTTTGGGTGAATTAATGACATTTATCGGACTCCAACACCTGGCTTACAGAAATTTTCATTTAGTTCCATTTTTTATAGACCTAGGATTCTATTATCCAAACAGAGTGATGCCAAGGGCCAATTTTCCGCGACCAAGTATCACTCGCAGTTTGGTACTCACTAGTTCCCAAACCAATAAAATCATTTGGTTCTATTTGTGGGACTCTCACTGAAATTTCATTATATTCGATACGCCAACAGGAATTCGGATTTCTGTAAGATCCAATCGCCAAATTGTCAGTCTTAATTGGGCTGCCAGCAATAGTAGCCATATAGTTTATTGGCTTCCGTTTGGAAGCTTCAAGATTTTGAAATTTCTAGCTTGACGGTTTGAGGGCCTTTTGAATGTGATATGCTTTGTCAAATTAACATGCTAAATTGTGCCAACAGACGGTGTAGTATTACTTGGGTCAATTGAGTATCAAAGTAGACAGCCGTGGACAGCATTATGATCAGAAACGCTTCCAGCAAGATGTGCGGAAGTTGAAGAGGCGAAGATTAAACAGACGTAAGGATAATATCAGGAGTGGAACGGGTGGTTGTGTGGATTTTTCGTGGACAGCATCCTTGACCCAATCAACGCTCAACTTGGCTGTCCGGGCAAGTTCTTCCTCATTAAAACCTTTCAGGTTTGCATGAAATCCTAATTTTGGACCTTTGCAACTACCAAGGCTTAGCTGAAATCTGATGCAGCACTGGGCACCCTCGCTTGATATGTACTTATCAATAATTTATGCAGAGGTGTTACTGCATTGCGTAGGTAGTACACAGTTCGATACCTCACAGATTAATAATTTTTATATTCAAGTCGTTTCATAGCAAACCACTGCAGCTGAACTATTGTGGATGACTCAATTAGATTCATATAGTGAATAGTCGAATAGTGGTAGTCGATCGTGGGCTGTCGAAGCGACCTGTTTTCAGTAGAATCACAAAAGATTCTCCGTCAACTGAGTACCACGTCTCGTTCAATGCCATTCGGCATTGACTCGGCTATAAATTTTCCTGAAATTCATGTATAGATCGATGTGCACCGAAGAGCGTAACGTAAATTGCCAAGTGTTCTAGTGGATATTGGGAATAATGTGCTTTACGAAATATCAATGCTTTGGCAGCACACCATCCAAGGACCCAACGATCGATAATTCAAAGGCAAAATTTCTAGGATTAACACAGTAATGGACATTCTTGAAGCGTGCCCGGAACAGTCATTAGTCGCATATTAATATTGTATTTACTTCATTAATGTTTTCCACCGGAACCTAAAAAATTCTACGTACGACCTATTTCAGTTACGATTTCGACACAGTCTTTTGAATCAAGTGAATAGATTGGGTGAATAACGAGGTACATCTTCAAATAGTATACTAATAAGACCAAACACAGCCTTTTAGAAACGGCTTTTTTGGCTGGGTCATTTTGGGTCGCATTCCAAAAGAACTTTTTCATGAAACTTATCCATGAAAAACGACATCCGAATCCTGAGAACAGTGAAAACCCTTTGATGGGTTAGCCTTCACTGGAGGCGGAGAAGCTGCGTCATCTAGATCAGAAAACCAGTAGTCTATAGGGAAGTCTGAGGAATTTCAATAATAAGAATGCGATAAACTGAAACTGAAACAAAAACGCGAAATCGTAGTGGCAACACTATACTGTGTCATTTGCGAGTCAGCTGACGTCAAGTTAGAATGGGCTGCACATTTAAATGTCATTATATCATCGGGGCTGTTCTTTCTGATGTGATCTCGTTTACCAACTGTGTTCCATAGTTTATCAGAGGAAACCAAGAGAGCATATTTGACCAACCAAATTCTGTGTTGGCTCAAACTGAGCCAAAATTGGTGAGCATACATTCTTCAGCTTACGGAGTACTGCTTCATATGTGAATGTGCTAGATGGGCGTTTAGAAGCACTTTAAAAGACAGTGACAAATCTGTGCTCTAACTAGACTACGTGGTTCGGGCCTAACCATGGATAAAAATGCGTTCAAAGGAACTGAGACA